TTGTAATCTTCTTCCTTTGTCTGCCTTGCCCTTGCATTCCTGGAGCTTTTCTTATGGTGAGTTGGAGTGGCTGTTTTAATCTGGTTTCTAATTGCTCGCTGATTGCCTCTGGATTGCTGCGCTCCTGGTGTATTGTAAGCCGGTGTTGCCCGGGGCGCCTGGGGAGCCGGCTGTGCTCGTTTGCCGCTTCTAGATGACTCTCTGCTGTGAGTTAACTGCGAGTGAATCCCGTCAGAAGTTTGCCTGCGGTTGCCTGTTTCCTTGCCTTAATCACCTATCCCCGAGATAGCGAAACTGACCAACAGAGGTGAAACTGACCAACTGACATGCTATACCCAGCTGACCTTTGCTGTCTTCTTCCTCTTGCTGCTGATGAGATGCACCCAGCTGAGGCAGCTGCTGGCCCTTTGCAAGGCTCACCCAAAGCCTTGCAAGGCCATGAGGAGGCCACACAAGGCCCCAGGAAGGACCATGTGAGGTACAGGACAGGGGTAGGTGGCCGGTGGTGGAGTACGGGGTGACCAAAAGGGCAGAGATGGTGGGAAGATAGACAAGCAGTGGGAGTTGAAGTGGAGGTGAGCGCAGCAGGGCAGGAGAAGCATGAGGTCCTGGCCTAACGATGGCACAGTCCTGGTCTAACAACCACAACCAGGATTCCTGGAACTGCCATTGCTAAGCAGTGCAGTCACATGATGTTTTGCCTAATGACTGCCTCGCTTAGCAATGGAAATTCCAGTCCCAGTTTGGTCATAACCCGAGGACTACCTGTACAGAAAATATTATTTGAAACTTTTAATTATTTAGATATTCATTATAACTTGTTAATGTATTTACAAATGCTCTTTTTAAATGAACACATAATGACGTGGAATCAAAATCCAGAACACAAATACAAAATAGTTAAGACTTCACTGCAGTGTTTATTAGACAGTACGTACTGGAGGGGGACCCCACCAAGGGTTAGAGGGAAACACTCCCCCTGCAGGCAAAATGGATGCCCTGATATTTATAGTTCTACAAGAAGGGGAAGGGGAAAAGAACACATACGCATACATATTCATATGATGATGCAGGCATACTTAAATAAGCAATACTTCTCAAGTTACTTTCTGCCCCTCTCTTGTCTATCTACAAGGAAAACAATAGTGTCTCAGAGAAAGAAACAAATTAGTTCAAAGTGCCAACTGCCAGGAAGAAGGCATCTTCCCTTAATATGGGGATGTTTGTGATAAGGAGTTTACAACCAGCCTAGTTCATACCAGCTTCAAGGGTGCTGCACATTCCTTTATGTTTCAATTTTATTAAGGTGATCCCATTTATCTGAGGCCTCTAAAAACTTGCTTCTTTCTTTCACCCAAAGGTATATTTTCCTCACAATGATAATATGTATTTCTCCAGTAATGCAAACCAAATAATTGAATTTATCATTTTAGCTCCCCATTATCATCACCATATACAAACACAAAAACATTAAGTATTGTAATTATTATTTGGCTGTAATACTGGAATTCTTAATTTGAAAATAAACCAACAGCAACTTTTTCTTGCTATATCCTCTTCAAAACATTCTGAATTCCTTGGTGTTTGTCAGCTCTTTATGAGCTAGGCAAGAAACTGGCAGGAATAGACTTCCATGGATGTGACATGGAGATTATAGAAAAACTGATATGGAAATTGTAGAAGAGCTATAAAGCCATTACAAAACAATTCCAGTGACTTCTGTGTATCAAATGCAAAGCTTATTATGGTAAAATTATGGTTCAAGTTTTATTTAGTTATTTGTCATATTCATATAGCTGCCCATTTCACAAAATGTGACTCATTTGTTTCACCCAAACAGTGTAATAGGCTTTATTTCTGGATGGAGGAATATTTTCCATCTGCCTTTGGTTTTAGAAATGGACCAGTCTGGTTTCAGGCTGCTTACCTGTGACCTGAGAAATATATTTCACATTAATTCATTAATCATAGACCTTTGCAATTTTGTAATTCTTTCTAACCCTCACAGGAATATCAGTCAAACACAATATCCATCAAAGTGTCCAAATTAATAAAGAATCAGTTTTCCTTACCTAACTGGAAGAGTCCGATCACCTTTCCTTCGATCCATTTCTCTTTGAGGAACAGGATACCATCGGAAATTTAACTTCCAGTTGAATCCTCCATAAGTCATATCAGAGCCTGCCATATATTCAAATGTGTCATCACTGATTACATCAATGATAGGACAAACTACTGTTTTCCTAAAGAAAGAAATGACATGAACTGTTATAGAAGAAAAGTAACAACAATGCTCTGCGCTACTCAGTGCAGGGGAGCAATTATGCAGCTATTATTATTAAATGATCTTTGATCCTAATTTCTTAAACATTGGAAACTAATTGTAATGATGACTCAGCATTAGGGACAACTTATCAGAAACCTGTAGTTCATCAAATCATCTGGACACTTGTCCAGATTCAGAAGCAGAGGATGAAATATTACAAACATTACCTCCAGCCAGTTTCAACACAACTAGCATTTCAGGCAAAACATGTGAGATCCTTTGAAGCTCTAGAGCTTTCATATGGAAAAGTGAAATAATAGCCAACTATGGCATTAATATTGAATGGACCCATATTAAAATCTTCTTTGCTTAAAAAAAGCATTTGTATTCAGAAAAAGACTGGAGAAAAGCAGGGATGGCTAGGAATTATAGAAATTACAGATACATTGAATATGGTCATGTTCTGCTGCTCATTTTTGTCAAAACCTGCTCTAGAATCTACAAACTTTAATCATTGCTTCCAAAGATTTCAGTTATCTTTATAAACAGATTTTAGCTAAATTAATAAATATTAACCTTTAACACGTTTTATAAAATAACCACCTGTTAGCTTTTATCCGTGCTAACAGAGGCTCAAGCCAACCTACAGTGCATTCACAATGAGCATCTAAAAAGGTAATGACTTGGCCTTTAGAGGCAGCAGCTCCTTTCAATCTGGCTCTGATGAGTCCAGAACGCTGCTCCATTCGAATCACATACACTGGTATTCGTAATTTTTTCACATAGTTCTCCAATGGTCTCTTCAAGAAGTCTGAAAAATATTGTCAAACAAAAAGTGGCTTAAATGTTCCTTTCACACATAAACCCTTAATAGCATTAGTCAAACTCTTATAGTGGTTTTGGTCTAAATTACCTCTCAATTGGATCAGTCACAGTGACAAGACAATTCAGCAGAGTTGTTCTTCCTTTTTTTGGCAATTCTTTCTGGAGAAACAGAAAGTTGGACTTACCATGAAGTGTCTTTCTGGGCGCAGAAAATGGACCTGACATGGTTAACAAGAAGGCAGAGCCAACAGTCAAAAGCTTAGCATTCTACCCTGAGAGAAGAACTCCCCAACTGCAGATCTTGACTTCAGCTATGAAAAAAACTTATGAAAATGACCACACAATCCAGGAACAAGTTAAAACAAACAGCAAAATGAGAAGGCAGGAGGCAGAAACAATACAATGGAATTCCCAATTAGTCATTGACTCAAAAAAATGTCTATGTGCAACCCAAGAAGAGGGAGGGACTGTCAGGTCCACTGTTTGCTGACCAGAAGGATAGTTCATGGGAAGTGCAACTCTCCATTCTCAATGAGCAGAGGAATGTAGCTGACAGGCAAGATATAATTAAAAAGTAGTATTCCATGTGAGCATAGTACATCCACTAAAGTAAGCTGCAACCAAAGGGACATCAATCAAATCTACTAATGAATTCTTCAGTCTCAATGACCAAACAAGTAGTCCATATTCTCCACAAAAACATTAGATTCTTAGAAATTTAAACCTGCCTAAGATTTAGTGGCATAACTTGAGGAAGCTGGCAGGTTCTTTAACTGTACATCATGCCAAATACCCCCCTCTCTAGTGACAAATGCTAGAGCCATTTCTGTCCTTAGTCCTCACCTAAGCAGGAAATTAGTTGGCTATCAAAATGCCTGAAGATCTGGTTCAACGTATATGTATTAAAAGGACCTATAAAAATTCCAGGCTTTGCAATTCCATTTCTTGAATGGAATTGCAAAGTAGTATTTGAAACTACTATTATCAGCATGTACTGAAAAATCTTCCAATGCATATAATTAGTTTCATTGTGTTGTCAAGAAACCAGCTCTGCTATTTACCTCAGTTTCTTGAGCTGACATAGATTATCCACAGATTAAATCTTACTGTGGGAATGTGTGCATCATGTGAATACCCAGATGACCCCTCAAAAGAATTATAGTTACAGATAAGCAATTTGTTCTTTTTGTGAACTCTAGTGGTCACACTGATGTGCAGCAAACTATACATTCTGGAGGTCAAGCAAATTCCTTGTTGCATGATAGAGGATAACATACAGTGGGGCAAAAAAGTATTTAGTCAGCCACCAATTGTGCAAGTTCTCCCACTTAAAAAGATGAGAGAGGCCTGTAATTTTC